CAATTCTATTTGATCTGATTTTGTGCTCACAAAGCAAAATTCTGGTTATTGATTCTGTTCCACACGTTGATTGAAAATGAGAAGGTAACTTCTTGGGTAATAGACAAGAATTTTTCCATGTACTGGACTAGTTTTTGTTGGTGGTGGGTTTTTTCCCCTTATGGTTCATAATTACTTAGCATTTGACTTATCAGTCAGTTTTCTAGAAGTTGGTTCAGTCTGCTTCAGCCCTCCAGATTCTGGTTCCCTATGAGTGAATTTTGGACCAGCAGAGTAGAGGACCACATCTGGACCACAGTCGCCTCATTAAATGCCATCAATCTGTCTAGACCATGTTGCAGGATCCAGTCACTTCAAAGCTCAGGACCATCCCCACATCTCTTTAAATAAAATTAGACTAGTCCATTTATAGTAACCATTCTCCATTCACATTACCTAATGATTTCCACGGCTTGTCATCTCATTGCTTGATTAAAGAATTTATGTAGAATAAGTCATAGCCCAAAAGAAAGAATAAAAGCCAGGATCACACAGGTAACAAAAGGGAAAACAGTTACACTGGACTTTATCCAAATAAAAAAAAAACTTTTGTGCATCAGAGGACAGTAACAATAGAGTGAAAAGACAAACCAAAGAATGAAAGAAAATATTTACAAATCATATATCTGATAAGTCTTTAATATCCAGAATATATTTTTAAAACTCTTACAACTTAAAAATAAAACATTCCAATTAAAAAATGGGCAAAGGATTTGAATAGACTTTTCTCCAAAGAAAATTACAAATGGCCAATAAGCATATAAAAAGATAATCAATATCACTAATCATTAGGGAAAGGCAAATTAAAACTACAATAAGATACTACTTCACACCTATTAGGACGGCTATAATAAAAAGAAACAAACAAACAACAACAACAACAAAAAAACAGAAAACAAGTGTTAGCCAGAATGTGGAGAAATTGGAATCCTCAAACATTGCTGGTAAGAATGTAAATACCTACAACCACAGTGGAAAACCATATGGCAATTCCTCAGAAAATGAAACATTGTATTTCCATATCATCCAGCAAATTTGCTTCTGGGTCTGTACCCAAAAGAATTGAAAACAAGGATTCCATAGAAATGTGTGCACTCATTCATCATAACATTATTCACAATAGCTAAAACATGGAAGCAATCCAGGTAGATAAACAAAATTGTGGCATATACATAAAGTGGAATATTAGCCTTAAAAATGAAGGACATTCTGACACATGCTACAACATGGAAAAACCTTGAAGACATCATGTTAAGTGAAATAACAGGTCATAAAAAGAAAAATACTGTATGATTCCACGCATATGTAGTACCTAGAGTAGTCAAATTCATAGAGACAGAAAGTAGAATTGGGGTTGCCAAGGGCCGAGGGAAAGAGGGAATGGGGAGTTAGTGTTTCATGGGTATAGAATCTCAGTTAGGGAAGAAGAAAAAATTCTGGAGATGGATGGTGGTGATGGTTGTACAACAGTGTGAATGTATTTAATGCCATAGAACCATACACTTTAAAGGATTAATATATTTTATACATACATACATATGTATATATTATGACAATTAAAAGAATTAAAAGTTTTAAAAGTCAGGATCAAAGAATGAAGGACAATTTACATGGCCTTCTCTCCCCCTACCAAAATAGTAAAAAGCAAAGAAATAAGCTAATAGTGATTGATGCATACACTGAAGAGGCAAAAAATAAACACATCTACTAACTTAACCAGAAATCTATGACTTCTCCCCTCATGTCTTCACCATTGGCAAGATTTTTATTGTACTTTATACCCAAAAAGGGCTCAGAATGCAATGATGATTCAATAAGAGTTTAATAAGGAGTTACTTCTGTGTACCTGGATCTCTGCTTTGTGCTGTAAAATAAGTAAAATCAACTATCACGTACTATGGTAATCCTTCCAGAGGGTATTCAATTATCACCCTGGATATGGAAGTTAACTTGGATTGTTAACTAAGTCTTCTTTCCTGCTGCCTTGTTTTCTTCTGATAGTAGATTCTTCAAAAAGCATGTGAAAAGCTGTTATTCTGAGATAAACATCACATTTGACATAGTCACATAATGTTAAATTAGAAGTTATTCTAGATCAATTGCCATTAATACCTTTATAATGGAAGTTCCTAAAAAAAATCAGATGAAATTTAAAATTGATTTTGTGACCAGAGAGCTCTGAGTCATAGGATCTAATAAAACAAACAAACAAACAAAAATCTGATATTTATACTTGGGATCTAAATCTGACACACTGTCTGATTTAGTATATAAATCTAAATAGCAATATTTCTAACAAAAATAAATATATATATGCATGAATACACAGTCAGAGAAAAATTACACATATGTGACCCATTCATTCTCTGATGATCTTTTTCATCTTAGGCATCAAGAAGCAACAAAATTTCAGTTTGTGTATTTTCCCATAGGAAAAATATTACCTAGAATACCACACAAAACTTCTGAGAAGGTTTTTCTTTCTCATTTGTCTCTAGCCAACTCATCAAGCATATACTTCTTGATTATTCTTTCTAAAGCACAGTTTTGATCATGTCACCAACCTGCACAGAAACCATTAAGAGTTCCCCATCCAAAACCTCATTCAAACAGTCCAGGACTTACATCAGTCTGCAAATTCCTTCTCAAACTCTCCTGCACTGTTATTCTTTATTCATCTTCCCCTCTAAATAGAACTACCAACCTGACATTCCTGAAGAAGACCCCCAAATTTCCAGTCCCTAGACCTATTCATTCTACCTGACTGAATACAACCCTATGTATCTAAATTCCACTCTTCTACATCTAATGCATTATAATAATCTTGCTTAGTATCATAGTCGAGTATAGGAAGAATATCTATGCATTATGATGTCTTTCCACCATTTGTTAACAAATTAATACTACATACGCTATGGCATTTATTAAAAGTATACAAATAGGAAGACAGACATTTCACCTTCCTAGGAATCTGGAAATCTATCTTCTACATGATTCTATGTATGTGTATCTTTCTGGAAGAAAAAAAAAAGAAAGCTTAATGAAAAAATTAATCATTGTCAGATTGTTCTCTAGAAATTTTGATCTGGAAAGAGTAAAAAGAAACTGTGTATATACAAATATTGTTGTTTGTTTATTCCACAAACACTTATTGAATACCACATATATACCTAAAATTATAGAAGGCAATGGAAGTGATGGAAAAATACAGAGGTCTGTTACAAATTCCATTCTTTAGGAGTAAAGAGGCATAACCATAATACAAAGTCGAAAGCGACACATTGTAAAAAGAGAGATGGCTGTGGAGCTAAAAGGAAGGAGAGGTTGTGTCAGCTGGGAGGATCCCAGAAAGTTTCTTTAAAACAAGATGTTTCCATTTGTCTTCAGCAAACGTCAACCACAATGAAAACACATTAAGACAGCTAAGTATAAAACCCTTCAGCAAGAATCTGTTTCCATGGTGTCAATTCTATATGTTTATATAGATTTTTTTTCTGGGTCTCATGAAAAATATTTTAACAAATCTATACAAACAAAAGCATTGAAAGCCACGTTTGCCACAAAACACTCATGTTTTTAGATATTAGTGATTTGGAAGATCAGAGAGTATATTCCCATCCTGAAATACTTCTCTCTTAGAGAGTTGGGGAATTATTTTCAGACTCTTCCTCCTTGGAAACTACTGATGCTATATGATTTCATCAGCACAAAATAGTTTCATGAGTAGGAAGGTGCTTATTTCAGGAGCTAAGTTTGAAGGGCTAGAGGTCAGTTTATGAACCAATTATAGTTTATTTCAGAATGTTTCTTGCACTTAGATTACCTCTGAAAAGACATACTCCAGAAGCTATGCTTTCCTGTTTTAGATGAATATATGGATTCCTGTGGTGAAGAGAGAAGCAACAAAAAAATCCTGTTCAATTAATAAACTCTGGAATCTTGCTATTAATAAAGGATAAATAAACCAATATAGTAGTTATTTGAAAAGTGAAGCAAAGCAATGAATTTTAAAAATGTAACTTAATACATGTTTATTTAGTTTCTATAGGCATGGTGGACACAGCCATGAGAAAGGCAAACAAGGTCTTTGTTCTCCATGCATCTCATGTTCTAGATGCGTGAGATATGGGTTATGGGCAGAGGGGATACCATAGGTAGGAGAGGAAGTAAAATAGATTTGATTAACAAGTAAACAAATTTCAAAACATCATTTCAAATAGTGGTAAGTGCTATGAAGACAGTAATGGAAGGTGACTTGATAGAGAATGGGAAGGGACTTCAGGTGGGCAAGGAAGAGAGGCATATATAAAAAGATGATGTTTGACCTGATACGTGGGTTTTCAATTTACAAAACAATAAGCCATGTAAAAATCTAAGCAGAAAAGCAAGAAGGGCAAAGATCCTAAGGTAGAAAACAGTTTGGAAGATTTTAGAAGAAAAAACAAAGCTAGAATAACAGAAGAATGGTGACTGAGGCTGAGGATACTACAAAGTGAACCTGTAGGGTTAAGGAAGATCATTTAGGTTTGTGTAGTGTATATAAGCAGTCTGGATTTTATTTCTCAAAACCCTGATTTGAAACCATGGTAAGGATTTCTGTATACCTTTTTTATACATTAGTGAAATGAAATTTTTATTTTTATATTTGTTCAAAAAAATTCATTTTTGAGAAACTCCTACATGCTAGACCCTGGAATTGGGGAGAGAAGGTAAACAAGAGGATAGATTTAGTACTTTACTGTGTAAGAATTTATACAGTGATAGAAGAGAAAGTGCTAGAAGCCCTGGGTATATTACACTTATAAAGTATTATGGATATTCTAAGGACTGATCTATTTTCCAGTTGGTAAGATCCTTGTATATAGTATAGCATGTAAATTGAGCCTTGAAATATAGGTATGAATTGAGTGTGTGGAAATAGAAGGTAGAAGGTGCTTAAAAAAAAATTTTTTTTTTACATGAAAAGGTTTATTTTTTCACAGGACACTGTTCCCCAGCCATGGGGCCCCGAGTTCCCTCTCATGAGTCCCACCGCAGCCAGCGGCCCGAGCCCTGCTCACACAAAGTTCTGAGCAATGGCCAGGACCTTGGAAAATTCACCTTCCCTCTGGCGTAGGCTGGTGGTGATGGGCGTTTTAATTCGGGTCCCTACAGGGTTCCCGTTGTCCTCAATGAGGACCACATTGTTGGAGTCAAACCTGGGGGTCATCCGGGGACCGGGCATGCGATGCCCCACAATGAGTGCCTTTTTCTTCTGTCCCTTGATGGCCAGCAGTATCCGGTCGCCCACCTTGCCCACCCTGTTCTTGTTATAGATGTGGATGCAACAAGGAGGGCGATGGTATGGGGTATTTTCCAGGGCACTGTTGTCCACCACACGGACCCGCGTCATCTTCTGAATTGCACTGAGGCTTCCGGTGGTGCTGAAACTGCGCTGGCTGAGCGCTCGGCTTGCATGGGTGAAGGGGCCCCAGAGCCCAGCACCGAAAGCCATGGCAAATCCGCTCTCGCCGCCCGGGAATATCCCGCTGCCGGCCTCTCTGAAAAGACATTAAGAAAAATACAGAACCTTTTCTGGAACACAGCAAACAGCGATTACAATAAAGTGTTGTTGATATAGTTATCAACATATATGAGACAATGAAGGGAAATTCATCATATATGAGACAATGAAGGTAAATTCATCCATTCATTTATTCAGAGAATATTTATTGAGCAAGTACTATGTGGGAGGTACCAAACTAGCTACTGGTGAACCGTAGTGAATAAAAAAGGCCTTGTTTTTATGTAGAAGTCCAGTAGGGGGAGACAGACAATAAACAAGTAAATACAGACTACAAAGTTGTGATGAGCACTTTGGAGGAAAATAAAACTGAGACAAAGGAAAGGCAGTTCAGTAAATGGTTAAACTTGTTCAAAGAGTGATCAAGAAAGGCCTCTCTAAAAAGTGACATTATAGCAGAGACCTGAAGGACACGGGAGAGTAACTCATGCAAGCATCTCAGTAAGTCATCAAAGCGGAAGAGGTCATAGGCTGAAATGCCCAAAAGCAGGAGCATATGTGAAACGTTCAAGAAAAAGTATAGAGACTAGGATAACTGAAATACTGGGAAAGAGCTGGAAAGTGATAGGAGATGTGGTCAGCAAGGTGAGGTGGGAGGCGCAGGATAGAGACATGGGATAGAATATATATGGTATCATCCTCATGGATGATACCAAGATGAGCCACTGGAGGACAATGAATAAAATAGGAGAATGATGTTTCACTATCAAGAGACACTGTGACTATTGTGTTGAGCAGAACCAGAAAGGATAAAACAGAAGCTGATGGAGCAAATAGGAGGCCACTGTAGTTATCAAGGTGAGTGATGGTGGCCTGGAGCTGGGTCTTTATGGAAAAAGTGATGAGAATGGAACAAATTCTGAAAATACTTTGAACAGATATGATTTGACAATGGATCAAATACTGGGCAAAAAGAGAAGTCAGACTGACACCAGTATTTTATAGCCCAAGCAACTGGAAGAATGGGGTTGCCATTCATTCGGATAAGGAAGACTCTAGGAAGAGCAAGTATTTGTTAGACTGTCTAGATATCACTTTTAGATATAGTAAGTTTGAGATGCCTGTCTGTAACTAAGCAGAGATTTTGTGTAGACAGCTGAATCTACAGGTCTGGAGTTCAGGGAAAATGGGCTGGAAATAAAAATTGGGGAGTCATCAGGAGTTACAAGATATTTAAAGCCTTGTGACTGGAATATAATAACCATGGGGTAAGTCTAGCTGGAGAAGGATATAGAGTCAAGAAAAGGTTTTCCTGAGATGGGAGAAAATTTAGTCTAGCTGTGTGCTGCTGGCCATGGTCCAGTTGAGTTCTACGTCTCCCACTCCCCCTGCTTGTGTTCTCTCTCTCACTGTGTATCTCTCTCAGTCAAATAAAAAAACCAAAATCTTTAAAAAAAATAAAATAAAATAAAATAAATAAAATAAAATAAAATAAAATAAAATAAAAGTGGTATCATTGGGAAAAGTGTGTGTTTTTCTCCAGTATGATTGTGGGGTCAGTTTAGGTGGAGCATTTAATTTAATCAAATTTAATTTTGTAAAATTAGTATGATGTGAGGGGCAGTATTATGCATGAATGGATTCTAAGGAAGGTAAATATATTGGGGGGTAGAAGTACAATGAAAAGTGGTAAGATCTAAAAAGTCTAGTTTCTGGAGTATTGCTGGAGGTTGAATAAAAGGGAGACAGATCTGGAGCTTGTGGGTATTGAAAATGTTGCCATTATTGATATTTGATAAAGTCTAGTTGTTTCCCTCAAAGTGTGTAATCAAAGTCAGATGGAAACAAGATCATTTGGTGAGGAGGTAAGAAAAATGAGAGTAAAATGATTAACTGCCAGTATAAGAACTAATGACCACAGATTCAGTCTTAGAGTGAGATGCTCTGAAACTTTTAAGAAGGAAAGTGGCATGATCAGTACTTTGAAACAGGTCATCAGAAAGGAACATGGAAGGTGAATGAAAGTAGGTAGAGATTGAATGCAGGAGAAAAAAATGAGCAGTCTGCTGGTATAATTCAGAGCAAAAAAAAAAAAAAAAACAGAGGCAAAAATTGAGAAGAAGTTGGGTTGTGTTCTGTTCTCAGTGTAAAGACGGCTTATGAACTGGATGCATTGTCCCAAGAATTTGGCAGTCAAACTGATAGATAGGCATATAAGTAAACAAATTTGTTCAGATGTAATAAGTGTTGTATCAGAGGCATTCATGAAATGTTAGGTAGACACAGAGAAGGGATTGAATAAGTCTGATGATTGACTATGAGCAAAGATTAGGAATAAAGGAAAAACTTAAAGACATAAACTGTTAGCTGAAAGATGAGTGGTAATTGTCCAGGTAGAGAAGATGGAACTGGGTGTGCTAAGTCAGGAGAAGAGCAAGCTTAAAGTCCAACGAAAGTAAAGAACATGACATGTGGGGTATGAAGTGCTGTTTTGGACTAGCTTGAGCATGGGTGCTGAAGGGGACAGGGTAGGAAATAAGGCTACACTTCAAAGTTAAAGCCAGTTGTAAAGTACTTTGAATGCTGAGCTAAGGGGTTTAGACTTTTTTTTCTGTATCTAATAAAAACTCACTAGAAGTTTTCAGTGTGTACTTTGAGAGGTTTTGTGTGTCTGTAAGTTTGTGTGCAATAAGCATGTGCATATATGTCTGTTTAAGAGAGTGTGTGATGTTTCTTTTTGTGAAAAGCCAGAGCTTATTTAGTCACATTTTGATCTCCCGTGAAATGAATGACAACATAAAGCTGAGTTGTAGATATAATATTGGCCCAGTAGAGAGTAAAACTAGTCTTCTGTTTTAGTAGTCCAATTAGAAACATTGGACTCATCATTATCACGCTTTAACAAATGAAAGTATTTATGAGATAGGAGCAAAACCAGAACCTGGTCAGTATCAGCCGGTGTTTTAGTTTCTCTTTGAGTCCAGGTCTGCATCTGTGTAAGGGCCAGGCTTGGGGGCAGGGAATGCGGGGCGCAGAGATGAACATATCTGATAGCTCCAAGTCTCGTTCCATGTCTGTAACTGTGTTAAGAAATAAAAAGGCAAACTATAACTAAAATGTCACTGTGAACATTTGCATATCAAAAAATAAAAGTGGCTATCCTCTTTTATCAGCTCAGGAATAAAATGTAAAGTCTAGTTGCCCAAAATAAAAGTTGGTCAATATACTAGAAGTTCAACACCTAGTAAGCAAACAATGGTGTTGAGTGCTGGTACATCTATACTGATTTTCCAGGATAGCATGCAACACTGCCGTCTGGTCTGGTTAGCATAATTTTTTTTCTATGCTTAATTCTTACCAAATGTATTTCATTTGAATTCAGAAGAATAAACCAAAACTTTAAAACAAAGCCAGAAAGTCTTCCCTCTGTTTATATGTTTATGTAATTGTTGTGACAAACCCATGGCTCCCAGTGGGTGCATGAGGTTTAAGTGGTTTCATCTCAAACTGGAAGCAGATGTGAGGATGGGTGAGGTGACCAAATGCTGTATTACAAAACCAAAACAAAACCACTGTTCAGTGTCTTTGTCTCTGCAAAGCACCAAAATGATGTGTTTTAAGGATCGGCAAAGGTCCGAATGAAACTTGTCTTCATTGGGAATTCGGATTGAATCCAAGACCAGCAAAGAATTCAATCGTCAAGGGATTTGCATGAGGCATTAGCACCATAGGTTTCAGGGAAAACCGTTAGCTGTTGACCAAACACACAGGGCCTGGTAACTAACCATGTTGAGATCTCTTCACCTTCTAAAAACACCTTCACAAGCATTTTAATATTCTGCCCCTTTTATATCCCCCAAGAGACTATTTCCTCTTTCCCCTCCTTGGTTTCATTTCTGCCTATCACTGCTGATCCAGCTCATATTCATTTATGAAATCACACTTGCCATGATCTTTAGAGATCATGTAATGATCATCTAACCCCCCTATTTTATAAATGTGGAAATATGTCCCAGAGAGATATTTATTATATTACATATACAAAGATGTGATTATATAAAGATTTGGCAGTCATACTATTTACTGGAGGTTTCTAATTCCTCTAAGTTCCTACAGTTCTAATGACAGCACCAATAACACTTATCGTAACTAGAGAAAGACACCTGCCAGTTTACGAACATTCAATTTGTAAACAACATAATCCCATGTTGAATCTTGGGGAAGCTACCTATGCTTTCTTCATCGATTCAGAAACATGGGAGGGAGCCGCACTACTTTCAAGGTTTTTAAATGCTTCCAAGATCTGAAACAAGCATTTGAATTTGATAGGTTCTCTACTATAGCACCATCCATTATTTTTATTCTTGTGTTATTCAAACACCTTGAATTTTCTAACTCCTTCTTATGAATTATTCCACCAGAGAAGAGTAGCAAGATAAATTTTATTGTTTCCTTGACATGAATGAAGATTTTAAAATAGGTAACGTCAGGTCACTTGGAATGGAGTAGTAACCTAGGATGGGAAATAATCCAGTGGCCTACAATTTCCACGTGTGTGTGTGTGTGTGTGTGTGTGTGTGTGTGTTTGTGTATCTCACATGTCATATAAACTAACAACTAAAACTCAGAAAAGTAGAGTAAAAAATCCTGTAAGACCACCTCGCATAGAACTAAGGTCAGAAAGCCAGCTTTTCGGGTCTAAAACCACTGTTGTTCCCTCTACCTACAAGTGTGAGTAGCATTGCCAATAGTTGCAGTTTCCTAGGCCAAGACTCGACCACCATCTCATCCATCTCCTCTCTACAGTGGTGACAAATTCCCTTTAAGGTTGTAATCAGTAAAGAGTTCTGAGAAATAGGACAAAATCATGGTTTTCTCTCCTGAAAAATATAAAGGCCTATGGGACATAGCATGGAATTAGGACACCTAAGCAGCACCCAAATGTCCCAAAATGAGTCAGCTTTCTTACTCACATCTTTTAGAAGCCATGCTGTCGTATATTCAGGATGTTGTGGAGTTCTTAAGCACTCTCTC